AATTTGTGTAACAAGTTTTTGCAAAAGAACAGGAGCCTCATGAATTGACTGGGGAGAGAGGGCAGCTGTCAGGCTCCCACTGCTCTAGGCACCTGGCTGTTCAAAAGCTGCTCTTATTAGTTTAACTTTCCTCACTTTGACAACATGCAGAACAGTTAAGTGATACAGTGATCTTGTGCGACTGTAGGCAGAGGCAGGTTCCATTATTTCCTGAATTTTAGACTTGGCATTAACTTTATTATTATATTAATATATTTAAGCCCCCTTGTACACAGTCTGTGTAAACATGGGAAAGTGGAGTCCTCAAGAGCTCGTTAGCCTATTTCATGGGGCTGCGGAGGGGCTCAGCTCTTTAGCATCCCTAGAGTCTTTGAAAGGTAGATGCAAGCATCTTACCTCGCTTCAATGACGTCAAGGTTTTTCTTCCTTTCAAAAGGCTTTTTTAAACTTCTAAAAGTTAAGTAGCAAGCTTGGTAGCTCAACCTCATGTTAATGCCATGTTGCTTGGAAAGAGGAGCTATGTTTAAAACTTCTTCCAGAAAGTCAGGGCAGTAAATCTTAAATTTTATGAGACTTAGAATTGTGCGCTGTTCGGGTTTTTTTGGAGCCAACCCTGAAGAGAGGAAGTAAAATTGTCACCAACTTGGCTTAAGGGAAAACAAAACAAAACACCACAAACACACAAAAAAACACCCCACCCCCAAAACTAATCAAAACAGATTCCCTGTTCTCAGTTTGCCTTTTTCCATAACAGAGTGCTGAGAAACGTTTTTTGAGGAATGTGCAGCTTGACATAATTACATTTCCAGCTCCCAGGAGCTCCGGGAAATGCTGGTTTGTAAAGGGCAGCTATTGGCAATAGCAGCTGTGCTGATACAAGTGGAAAGTTGCCAACATCTTCATGTTTGCAAGAACAAAGAAAGAAAAACAGCCAACAGAGAACCTCTTAGAAGTGTCTGTAGTTTCTGCAGCCTAAATATAAACAGAGATGGGATAATAGGGGAGGTGGAGTGCAGAAATGCTTGGCTGCTCCTGGCAGGTCCCCCTGTCTCTGAGATGAAGTGCACAAGCAGGGTGGCGCTGCAGTGCCGTTCCGCCTGCAGCCTCTCTGGGCTGTGAAGGTGACTGAAGCCTTTCCTGTCGGGTGTGGGCTGGAGGATTTTAACTGGGCTGTTTCTGAAGGTGCCTGAGGTTGGGGTACCTGCTGTTCTTTAGGAACGGGTCTATCGCGCCTGCTTTCAGTTCCTGCAAGGTGATGTTCCTGAGGATTGAGCTGCAGCAAGCTCAGCCTGGCTCAGGGAAAAACTGGGGGCACGGGCTGCAGGGCGATGGGGCAGCCCTGGATTTTAACTGTGCCTCATTTTGAGCAGGTGCAGGATCATCCCAGAGTCCCACAGAGGGAGCTAAAGCCTGGGGAAAAGCACGGCTGGAGTGGCTGAGCAGACAGAAAGGTCCCACTGCTCCTTGGTGTTCGGATCCCAGCTGCTTTGGTCTTGAACTTTGCTCGGGATTGTCTGACAGATACTGTTTGGCTGTACTCACAACTTCCTGATTTTCCTCCCTCCTTCCCTCTCCCACCACTATAAATCTTAACATTGTTTGGGCTTTTGCTTTTCTGTCTGACAAGGTGAATGCATTGTGAGTTCTGGGGTGAACAAATATCATGGTGTGAGGAAAACTTCAACAGCTGCCAAATAGGACTATCCTGGGCGTGGATTTCAGTCCTAGTGTGTGAGATCTTCCAGGGATCTCCAGACTGGCTCCTGTTCTTCACTTGAATGTGGACAGTAGCGTGCAAACACACCTGTTTGGTGGTGGTGATGGATGGTTCCTCTTGATGGTTTATTCCTCCTTCCGGGTGGTTAGGGGTCGTCCTCATCAGGGTTTGTGGTGGCAGCATATTTATTGCCTCCTGGGAACAGCTGAGCTCTGCAGACTCCCTTGGTGCTCAGAGAAGTCTGGGTGTAGCACCCCAGCCTCCAGCAAGGACAGCCCTCGCCAGCAGCAGGACGTGGCGGCATGTGCTCCAAGGGCCAGATGTCCTCTGCCAAAGCCCAGGCTGCCCTCTGTTCTTGCTTTGGAAGTGTGATGTCAGAGCCAGCGAGGGGATGGGCTTTTGTTTGCTGTTTACCTGCAGAGTGTGCTTAGTTTCTGGCAATCCCCTTTCCTATTGCTAGGGGATCACACTGCTATGTCTGCCTCTTGCTTAACTGACTGGGAGCCATTTATGCAGTTGATAAAGCATTCTCTGTATAAACTTATTTGCAGGCAAATAATTTGTTACCTGAATTATTGTTTCACCTTGAGGCCCCAGTTGTTGCTCAGGACTGCATATGATACTGAATTAGCCTTGACTGAACATTCAGTTCTGTCCCAAATGCAGGCGAAAATGCTACTAGTATCACTCTCTGGGACATTTACTGTGGGATGTCCCCTAATAAGTCTCCTTACTGCAAGCGTTGCGGTCTGCCCACTGAGCAGGGCTGACTGCCAGCTCCTATCACTTTTGTATAGCTCACTGCTGATGTTCTCCAGCAGATTTTTTCTGGAAGATAAACCTCCCCTCTGAATTATTTTGCCAGAGATACCAGGATTTCATAGGATCTGGCTTTGAGCACAGACAATTGGGCTGAATGTGAATAGTTCCCTGCACACACACATGTGTGTGGACAAGTGCAGAGGAGAAGCGATGTAGAGCTGAGCTAATGTCTGCAGGCAAATACACTCTGGGGTGAAGAGCAGACAGAAGAAGCTTAATGTGTGCTGTAGCTGAAATTGAAAATGTGCTTGTAAAACGCCTGTAAAACTGGTTCTCTTGTTACTGGCTCTGTTCTCTGTTCAAGTCCAACAGGATCTGAGATGTTGAAGAAGCGAAACCCCTGCAATTGCATTGAAAGTCCAAGAAGTTCATTCACCATCCTGTCTCCCTTCATTGATTGTTTTGGTAAGGCATTAGCTGTCTTTTTCTACCTGCCAATCCACAGAAATGCGGCGCTCAGATCACAGCTAACCCTTGCAGGAGGTTAAAACCTTTGCGGGAACAAAAGCACAGACACCAATATGATGGTTGCTATTTGTTCAACTCATTAGCTGCGCAATTGCTTTATGCATGCTCCTTAAAGGGATCCACCTTAAGCATGGCTGTGTTTTGGTAACATTCTTCTCTGGCATGTTTGATTGGTTCCCTATTCTTCCCATACATCGCGAGATCTTCCAAGCGCCTCTCCCTACAATCGATCTCTTCCAACATCATCCCAGTGCCAGTTACCTTGTGGATGTTGTTACCAGATTCTTGCTGTGAATGGCAAATACTCAAAATGTTCTGTTGCAGTAAGCAAATATTTTCTCTGATGGAGGATTTCTGATGGCAAACATGCATGTCCTGTTTGATTTCTGTATGTGACACACATACAGATTATGTCTTCAAGTTCAGGGAAGGAGTTTAAAGACTGTTAGAGAGAGTTCCTCTCTCTTATAATTACTGAGCATCAGAGTGGCTGTCATTCTGCCAAGAGCTCCCAGAAGAATGATACTGTCTATAAAGAAAAGGAATTTCATTAAAGAAGTTTGTCCTCCTTACGACTTCCCCACCCCTGGGGCAGAACGGTTCACTTTCCAGTTTCCCTCTTTTGACTAAAGATCTGTGAAAGTGAGAACTGAACTAGCTGCTGAGTGAGCGATGGCCTGTCCCATTGGTTTTGGGGTGCTTTGAGCAACGTTTGAAGGCAGCATGGGAAAAGCTGAGCTAGCTCAGAGAGTCTTGGTTAGTGCCAGCTCGCTCCATCCTCTCAGTGGGAATGCAGAGGGGGAAGTGGGGAAAGGTGACTGATGGGTGAAATGAATATTCTGGTTTGCATCTCTCTTCAGTTAAGACGCCCCATGATAGATAAGACTGAAGCAGGAGTCGTTCCTGAAGGACACAGGAGTGAGGTGCTATCCACTGCCATGATATCCTAGCAAATGGCATCCTCGAGGACATTAACTCACAGCAAATGCAATAAAAGACAAATGACAAAAAGTCTAGGGACTAAGTTCCACTACCCTCAAAGCAACAGGGCTCTGTTCCCCTTCCTATTTTTAGAGCAGGATACTTTCACCTGGAGGAAGGGAGGCTGCAACCAGTCAGTGCATGAAAGACACAAAGACACATGAACAGCTCCTGTTGCCCAAGAGGATCCTTTTTTGTTTTGGTTTGGTTTGGTTTGGTTTTGGTTTTTTAAGCTGGCTGTTACAGACAGACCAATAACAAGGTTTGGTTCAAATTTCTCTGACTGCTGGAGGTATCTGTGAACTTTGAATTTCTCTGACAAACTCTAGAAATGGTAGTTGACTAGTAATCAAGTCCTGGACTGTTCAAAGTAGTGTCATAGTGTAGGAGGTCAATACTAAGCCAGTAACACGTGGTATACCTTGCATGTAGAGGGAAAGGGACTAATGTGATTTGGTGGAAAAACTGTTCTGCGCAGAGTCGGCACACAAATGTGAGAGGATGAACCTGTTGTCTCCAAGCTGCAAAAGCCCCCTGAGCAAGTGGGTGGTGTAAGTTGGGACAAGGAGAGCAGTATTTGAGCCCAAGGGCAGAGAGGCAATTTGTGGCTGCAGGGAGGGTTAATGCCAGTTGAGTTTTATGGCTGTGGCCTGTGGGAAACACCCTCTCTGTTGCCAAGGCAGCTCCCACACAATGCCCCATGTTCCCTGGAATGCTGCGGTTGCCAGGCAGCCTCCCTGGCTCCAGCCACGCCATCCACAACTACCCAGGAGCTGCAGCGGGAAGGAGCAGCAGCTCAGTTGCTACAGTCTCATCTCGTTGATGTACATATAGTGGGGGAAAACAGCTCATCTAGCAGTTTTTGCAGTAAATCTGCCCCTTCCATTTGACCAGATGAGCCTGTTCCTCCCTGTAGCTAGGCAGCACCTGTTCTGAGTCAGGATCTGGCAAAAGAGCATCTGACCTAGCAGTGACGACTTGGGCAAGGAAAAGAAAGAGAAGACATGAGGGAGTCACACAGAGCAAGGGAACGATCAGACAAGTACAACTTACTTTGGCTGATAGAGCTTCTTGATTGCATGTTTTCTGAAAAGTCACAGAGGGGTTTTTCTGTCTAGGTTGCTTCCATCCCTTGCATTGTCTGTTTTGGCTGTAAAAGCCTATACTCGGCGTCTGTGATTCAAGCACCAAAATGAAGTTGAAAGAAAATAACCAGAACTCTGACTACAATGAAGGTTCAAAGGGGGTAAGTATGCTGGACTCTACACTCCCAACTTCAGCTTCCCACAAAGATGCAGAGCAAGCTGTCTGAGATCTGCAGGTCCTTGTAGAGGAGCAAGATGAAGATCTTTCAGGCTAACATATCCACAGCTGATCTCACAGGGAGAGAAGATAGGTGTGTACGTTCTTGAACCCAGCTTATGTCTGTCTGCAGCACAGCATTGCACTGGGTCTCATGATTTTCTGTCTTTGTCTGCAGCTGACCTCCCACATAACTTCTGTGTAACTGTCCCCTCCTGCGTGTGAGTTTTCTTTCCTAATTTCTAATCAGTTTTTGGCTGCAGATGCTTCTGGATGGGGGCTGTCTTTGTGGTATCTTGCACAATGCAATGCCAGATGTTTTTCTAGAAGTGCTGAATATGAATCATTAACACCAGTGGCTCTTCTGAGCTCCTGGGATTTGTTCAATGAGAACAAGGCAGCCTCCTTTTCATCACCAGTGTGAGAATGTCAACAGTCAACTCTTAGAAAATACATAGCTGGAAGCCTCAGCTTCCTTCTGATCCTTACTCTGAGATGGACTTGAGTTTTGATCTCCTGCAGTGCCTTAAACTCTGCAGATCTCTGGAGGTGAGCTGCTAGAGCTTCTGAGGAATATAAGGAATACAAGGAGTACCAGCAGCTCTTTGGACAAACGTTCAGTTAGGGAAGTGACAGATCCTTCACATGGAACTTGAGTGTTGGGACATAAAGGCTAATGATGGAGACAGAATATTATATGTGTTTGAATGAAAAATGACTGTATTGATGCAGCAGCAATAAGATACATTAGTGAGCTATATTAAAAAAAAAGCAGTTCAGTCAACACAGCCAGGCCAGCCTGAAGACTGAATAGTAACTAATGGCTGTGGAAAAACAAGTTGCTTGTAACCCTGAGGGCTCACACAAACATGGTTTGTGTTTGATCCTACTCCGGATGGCAATTTCACCCTTCTGCTGAACTGCAAAATGCTGCTCCTGTACCCCCCAACCAAACCCTCACTGGGCTACTTGCATTAAGATCTCATTGGCTTCACTGACAAGTGACAATCGGATTAGATCCATAAACAGTTTGATCCTGAAATGTGGGAGACAGAACAAGCCTGCATGTGAAAGCAGAACAAATGAACAGGAAAGGGATTTTGCCACTTCATGCAAAATCTTTTCTTTTAAAGCTTTCTTGTGCCAATATCCTGTGTTATTTCACTAACCAATTTGCATGTTGACTTTTTTTTTTTTTTTTTTTTCCCTGTGGGGTGGTATTTTAAGCATGATAAGTTAAAAATTATTCATCATCTAAATGATCCATCAATACCAGGAATGAGTAGAAAGAATTACTGTAATGACAATGTGCAAATCTATCAGGACAAAATGAGTTATAATGAAAACAACCCATTGGGCTTGCTTTATACTGTAACATGAAGTGAAAATCACAGAAGGCAAGTCTTAGGGTATTTCTATATTTTTACTGAATACCATTTGTGCCTAAAACCCAAACCTGCTTCTGCGGTGTTGTCTGTGTGTTTTCTTTCCCCTCTGCAGAAGATGACACCGACGCTTCTGCTGGTATCGCTGATATGTGGGTTTGGATCTTCTTTCCTGTGTGGCTACAATCTGTCCATGATCAGTTCTGCAGCCTGGGTAGGTTGGACTGTGGAGTGGACCATGACTCAGGAGTGGGTTTACAAGCAGAGCAAGGCAGGAGCGTGACAGTTGATGATGGGTGTTTGTGGGCAGATGCTTTGAGTCACCAGGCACCTGGTGAGAAGCAGTTCCCCCAGAAAGGGAAGGGAGATGTTAAGGTGTATAACTCTACTGTTCAGACTTTGACCAGCAGAGACGGGGCATGAAGAATGTTTTCCCTTCTGGAAACCAGGCAAATCCTATAAGGCAGGATAGCACGTAGTAACAGTTTAGTCCAGGTTCCTCCACCCCTCTCTTGCATTCATTTTCCAGATCAGCTATTCTGTTTTTTATGAAGACATGTGATAAAAGCTTTATGGCATTTGTTGTCAACTAGCTTTTTCAGCATGAAAATTTTACTGACTGTGCTAAACATGCTCTGTATTTTGTTCCAGTTCATGCAAGACTTTTACAACAAAACCTACTTCAAGAGGAATGGAGTGCCAGTGGGCCGTAGCTTCCAGACGCTGCTCTGGTCTCTTACTGTGTCCATGTACCCTCTGGGTGGCTCCTTCGGGTCCCTGATGGTGTGGCCTCTGGTCAACAATTGTGGCCGGTATGTGACAGTGGTCTTTAACGTCCTTCACCAGCAGTTGCTAGGTTCAGATAAGACTTGCCTCACCAGTCACTCCAGCTTGCCAAGCCCGTGAGGAGCGTGACTGTCACCACCTTGATGGCAAGGCAGATGGGCTGGTGATTAGTTGCTGGACTCAGCAATACACGTTGTCTCTCCCATGTAGAAGAATTTATATGGTTTCAGTATGGTCAAGGCTAGGCTCTATGCTGGGCACTGAGCCAGGAGGAGAGCAATGATGAAAGTCCTCGGTTCGGATCTGAGATCAGGCCCAGCTTCTGCTGCTCGAGTTTCCTGAGAAACTTCAGTTCTTTCATGAAGCCTTAGTTCCTTGCAGGAAAAAATGGGACAATCACCATTTTATCTTTGATTAGTCTTTGGGATAGTGATTCATTTGAGTTTTGGACAGCATAACACACAGGGGATCTGTCTGCTCTTGGGGCCTTAAAAAAAAAATAAACTGAATCTGTCTCCTTCCCTATTACTTTGCAGAAAGGGTACTTTACTGATAAACAACATCTTCTCCATCACTGCTGCACTCCTTATGGGAACCTCAGAGCTGGCAGAAACCTTCGAAGTAATGATCTTTTCACGTTTTGTTATGGGAATATTTGCTGGTAAGTGAGAGGTTGGATAGTAAAGGGAGAGCAATATATTCTTGGCTATGTAAAGGTTTTTCTCAGAACAGATGGTTTCACAGAAAGCATCTTTTAGCTGTACATCTGCATAACGATGCTGTATTTGCTTCAATAACAGTTGTCATCTGCATGTTGCAGAAGTAGTAAAGATGTCTGGTAATCAATGGCAGTGAGATGGGAATTTCAGATGTACAGAGGAGATGTGTGTCTGTAGATGCAGCTGTCCTCTGCAATAACCATCTGCTAGGCACCGGTGCTCCAACACCCAGGAAACCTGCTAATAATAATACATTTTCCCAGAAACCTTTAAGCAGATAGCCTGGTGCTTGCCTTTTTTTTTTTTTTTTTTTTTTTTTTTTTTTTTTTTAGCATAGTCAGAGGCAGAATCATACTTCTAAATCAAGTAATCCAGTAATCTAAATCTAGATCCAATAATCCAGTCCTGGAACTGACTGATCTTCCTGCAGGAGAAGAGAAATGTTAAAAGGGAGAGTGAAGGGTTCAGAGCCACTGGATTTATTGCAAAGTTAGTGGGAAGCCAAGGAGCAGGGGGGGTGTGAGTTGCTATAATTGGCTATATTAGAGCTATAGAAATATGGAAGAGAAACCCAGAATGTCTGGGTGCCCCTTACAGTACTGTACTGTGTGCAAAGCCAGGTTAAGAAGGGTCCGAACAGCATTTAGGCTCAATTAATTGGCTTTGGGCTGGCAAGACTGACATGCTCTGTGGTTTATTAGTGAGTTGGGATATCCTGTGAAGTTAAAAGGAGGAACAAGGAGCCGATGTAGGAAAATACCTTGATCTGTAACACGCAGCAATTGCGATTGGTGAGCTAAGGCAGGTAGTTTACCTGGTCCAATGGTTCTGGTTTGGCTTTTGACTCTCCTAAGCCTGGCAGCTGTTCTCAGCATTGGTTCTCTGAATATATGCTTAGGGACCTGTTAAGTGTGATCCCTCTTTCCAGTTATTTATAACTGACCAAAGAATCTGGACTGGCTGCCCTGACTTGCCCTTCACAGCTTGGCCTCACTCGAACTGTGGACATTGTGCCTGGGGATGGACGGTGCTGAGCCACCCAGCCTGCTCCGGGCTCTGGTAGGGTCCAGGTGTCGCCTCTCCTGGGCAAAGGGCAGCTCCAGTGCGAGGGGCTGAGCTGGCAGCCCTGAGGTGTACGGGGCTCAATCAGTGTAGGTCTGAGCAGTTAGAAAGCCACTGTTACTCGAATGCAGTAGTCCAGGGGTCACTGCTGGCATGTTTTAATCTAGGCAATTAAAAGGCTGATAATAGTGCAAACTTAGCACACTGCACCTCCTGAGTTTAGTTTTATAATGTTGTCCAGTTGCTTTAATGCTTGTTTCCATGCCTTTTGGCTTTCAGATTAACAGCTTGATCCCCTTTGTAACTCCAAGCTCCTGAAGGCTAGACTCTTTAGAAATGTAAGATAAGAGTCGTGTGGTCACTTGACTCCAGGAGTTTGGGGTTTGCATGCCAGGATTTACAGCCTAAGCATGGGAGCCTGCAGCTCTCTGGGGTTACTGTGGGTAACCATGCAATGTTCCTCAGAATAACCTGTCCCCTCAGTGACATATGTGAGTAGCACCTACTCGAGCGTGAGACCTGTAAGAGATCTCAAGCCAGCAAAGGTCTCTGCAAAATGTTAATGAGCAAGTAAAGGAGTAGTGAATTTTTAAAAGCCCACAAGATGTGGCATCTCTCCGCCCTCACATCAGCTTGTTTGGGTACTGCTTTCTTTACGTCTTTTAAAGGAAGTATAAATTCCTCTCTTACACTTTGAGTTTGTTTCCAAACTGGAAGTAGCACACAGTTTTTCTCTGCATGTATTGTGTTGAAGTACTTGGCAGACCCTGATGGGAGAAAGCTACTTCTAGGAAGATGAACACTGAGAGCCCCCAAATAATCTGCCGTCTCTGTAGACAAGACAGGCTACTGCTAACCTTCTTAGACTCCTAAAATGCTTTGCTGCTGAGCAGTTAATAAGCTAGACCTTCAAAGCACCAGGAGCTTGGCAGGTTGCACTCCCAAGGCCCATCACCCGTGTGTGGTTCTTTCCCTACTGTTTTTCAGTTGAAATGGGTGAAACAATTCAGGCTCCTTGAATTAGCTCCAGCATGGGACTGCCTCTGCAGCTTAGCCACAGAGATGATTTCTGTCTTACGTTTAAGATATATGAGTGTAATATTGACAGCCTTGGCAAAGGGACAGCATTACTTAGGAATGGAGAGGTAGTGGTATAAACTTATTTATCTAATGGCTCCCAGAAAAAGCCTTTCTGAAGGCATCAGATGCAGCAGTGGATTTTGTAGCTCTCCACCTGCTGAGTGAACCAATGCCATGCGCTCTGTGTCCCCACATTCCACTGAAGAGTGAGGAAAACATACACAGCTTATTCAATGGCCAGAAGATGCCATTAAATCTTCAGCTGGAGAAGGGTTTGAGCATGAGGTTTCCACATGTCCTGTGGTCCAGCAAGAATCACTTTGGCCTCACATGGGAAGAAGGCTTTTTACTGAAGATGGGTCAGTGTGCTGATGTCAGACAGCTGCATGTCTAACATTGTTCTCTAACTACTAGGTCTGGCTTCCAATGTGGTTCCCATGTTCCTTGGAGAAGTGTCCCCGAAAAATCTGAGAGGTGCTATTGGGATAGTACCTCAGGTCTTCGTCACTGCTGGGATCCTCGTAGCTCAGATCTTTGGTCTCAATGTCATCCTTGGGAATGCCGAAGGTAAAGCCCTGGCTCAGGACTTTTCAGCAGGCTCCACTGGGGAAAGATTTCTCACAGTTGTCATCTTGTCTCACTTGTTGCAGGCTGGCCTTTGCTGCTGGGGCTCACTGTCATCCCAACACTAATTCAGGCCCTTACATTGCCCTTTCTCCCTGAGAGTCCAAGATACCTGCTGATACAAAAGGGCCATGGAGAGCAAGCACGACGAGGTACAGCATCATCCTTTTAATGAAAGGGGAGGTGGAATGGGGTGGATCTATCTGTGAGATGTGACTGACAGCAGTCAACAGAGAAGCAAGCGAGTGTGAAATTTTTCACTGACCTGTTGCTGGTGGATGGAATTCCTGCAACATTGCTCCTGTCTCTGCATATCTGAATCCCTGACTTCCCACCGTGGAAGCGCTGCAGCCCATGGCTTGCATATTGTTCTGTCTTGATTTGAAGCAGGAGAGCTCACTTGCAGACCTGCTCTCTGGGGTCCATAACATACCTTCCTTTCCCAACTAGCTCTGCAGAAGCTGAGAGGCTGCAATGATGTGAGTGAGGAGATAGAAGAAATGCAACAAGAATACTGGTCAGAAAAGGAAGAAGGGCATTTGTCTGCGCTCAGCCTGTGCACCTTCAGAGGCTTGCGATGGCAGCTCCTCTCTATCGTTGTCATGATGATGGGCCAGCAGCTCTCTGGGGTTAATGTGGTGAGTGGGAAAGGCCCGTGGGGGGAGTAATAAAGGGATGGGACTTGGGAGTGGATGCTGTGGGGCAGTGCTGCACAGGAGCTAGCACCTAGGACGCAGGAGTGCCCCTTCATCAGTGCCACTGGTTCTGTGTCACACTGTGGTGGGTGGACCCTGGCCAGTACCAGATCCAAGACACACACGTACTAGACACAAGCTGTCCTTTTAAGGATAGTTTGGATGTTTTTGGAGTAAAGTGCTTGTGCCTGGATCCAAACACCAACGTCTCCAGCTCTTTCAGGCTTCTGTGCACCAGTTCCAGGAGGTAAAGGCAGCCAAAGCGAGATTCCTGTGTTCTGTCTTTGGTCACATATAAACACAGCTGTGGTTTTGCTGCAGGTCTTCTACTACGCAGACAGAATCTTCCAGTCGGCAGGTGTGGAAAGCAGCAATGTTCAATACGTCACCGTGTTGATAGGTGCCGTCAATGTCATCGTGACTTTGCTCGCTGTAAGTTTCTGTTGGGGCTCTTCAAGTTCTAGCCTGTCCAGCCTCCCCCATCTGTCACTCTTTAAATTAGGGTGTGTTATTTACACATAGTGAGAGCTGCTTTGCACAACAGATGCCCTGCGCTGTCCCTTGGCTGAAGGCAGCTATGTTAACCAAAATGATTAATCACAATGATTTCTCATATGCCTTCAGAAGTGGTCAGTCTCTGGTCTCCAGGCTGATATGCCCTTTTTTGCTGTTCAGTGTTAGCATTGCAGGGCTTCCATGCAGTTCTCACTGGGTCTGGTAGTGAAAAATGGCCTGGCTGTTCTCTCAGTCTTATTGCCATATCCAGCTTTTTGCAGTTCCTGGGTGATTTCATGCCCACAGTCCATCAGTAGGTGGTGGAAATGTCACTGAATTTCTTAACAGACAAAGACTACCTTAGTAAATCCTGCTGGAGTAAGAAGTGTTGTGACCCAGGTGTCTGATTTTTCACCTTCTTCTGTCTCCTTCAGGTTCTCATAGTGGAATCCCTGGGGAGGAAAATCCTTCTCCTTGCTGGCTTTGGATTGTGCTCTGTCTCCTGTGCAATGTTAACTTTGGCCCTCAGTCTCCAGGTGTGTAGTTGACTGGCTCAGGTGATCCTACCTGTGCGTTTCTGGACCTTCCAGGGAACAGGCCATTGGTATATTTGGAAGTTGCTTCTATACCCTGGTGGGGACAGGACAGTATGAAAGGTCTCCGTATTTGTGTATTTACCTAAAGGAAACCCAGGAAAAGTTATGATTCTGCTTGGCTGAATACTACTTTAAGTACATCATGTTCATAATATCCATTGCATCCATTTGTTGGAAGCAAGGATCATACCCAGGCTGTGATTGTCGTGGCTAAGTTAGGACATACCTGGCAATGGAGAATGACAGTGGCTTTAGAATGCCTTCACATCTGAACACAAATAGTGCCTTGAATGTGTTGGTGATGTCCAGAGAGGAACCACCTCTAACCTGTGATTAAATTCTTCACAGGCCACTGTTTCCTGGATGTCTCACCTCAGCATAGTGTGTGTCATTATTTACATCACTGGACATGCTATCGGAGCCAGTAAGTATGCACAGCCTAGTCCAGTCTCCACAACTTGGGTAAAGCCAAGTGTTATGTTCAGTTTCAAATCAAAAGTTTTGTGGAGCTAATCCAAAGAGATTGAATTACTTTTCTGTGTGGCCATGCACCTTGTTGATTGTCAGCTAGGCTTGTTTATGCTCCAGTGATTTGCTGGCTGTGTCCATGAGGCAGGGGAGCATTTGGATTTCGAGAGGAAAAGCAAAGGCACAATTGTGCTTGTTCTGGAGATTCCCCCAGTAAGATCAGGAGCAAAACTGTGCTGAGATAGCCCTACCAACTGGGCAGAGATGTTGCGTGCTTGCATGTATAGGCAACAGATCAAACTTGAAGGAACTCACATTATACATGTGGTCCTGCAGATCTCACGGCAGAAAGGAGATGTGCAGGCAGATGTGTATATTGGAAAGGCTTTGTCCTGAATCACTTCTCAGCATGGTAGCGTTGTCTGTTCAGCTTTGGAAAGCCCAGCCAGACCCTTACTGGATGCAGCAATGTGGTTCTGAAATGCCTGTCGAGGTTTCACTGGCAGATGGAATTACATACAACCTTTCCTTTTCCATTGATGCCATCAGGTAGATCCAAGTGCCAGGGGCAGGGAGGTGGCTGGAGGGAGAACACCAGCTCAGCCGGACCCATGGTCTGACCCCGTTAATGGGAACATGTTTTGTTTCTGCTTAACAGTGCCACAGGGCAGGGCACGGGCCTGGGGGCTTTTTCCAGGAGCCATTTTTCCACCACCTGCATGTGTTGGGCTGTTTCTTTGCTTTACTTTCTTTAAGAAGCAATGACTAGTGTAGTTGCTGCTCATAGGGCTCTCTCGGGAGAGACAGTTTGTGTTTATTGACCTTATTTCACAATTTGTGCTGCAGATGGGTTCATGGTTAGGGTGCAACCATAAGAAAGAAGAGGCTGATTGCTGTCATTTAGTTGCCCTTGGTTTTGGTTTTTTTGGTTTGTTTTTTTTTTTATTCAATCCCGTATGTGATTTATTGGGTGTTTCTAAACACTAGTAGTTTAGAAACCATTGCCTGCCACTGAAATGAACAGTGTAATCTAGGAATTCAGAGTGGAAGAATTGTCTTTGGGATTTAGAAATATGCCCCTACCTTCCAGGTCCAATTCCACCTGTGGTGATCTCCGAGATGTTCCTGCAGTCATCCCGGCCTGCAGCATTCATGGTGGGAGGGTTAGTGCACTGGCTCTGCAACTTCACCGTGGGGCTTGTGTTCCTCTACATGGAGGTAAGGTGCCATCACATGACAGGGCAAGACTTCAGCTTAAAATCAGTATCTTCTCCCCTGTGTTCTTAGAGAGCTTTTTTGGTCCTGAGAGCTATAAATGCCCAAGTTGGTTCCCAGTACCTGTATGCAGGACTATATATCAAAGATAAGAAACTGATGTTAATAAGCATTTTTTTTATCACATCTGTCTGTTGCACATGCTTTAAAATAAAGCAGTTATTTTCCAAGGTGAATATAGGATTCTGAATTCAGGAGCATGGAAAGATTAGAAATTCCCCATCTTCTACCGAGGAGGGGCATGTCTCAGGGAGTCAATTTTAGCACTTGATCTCTAGGTCACTAGTTCAAACTGATCCCCAGCAGTAGTGACCTATAAACTGCTACAGTTGCTGATTTTAGCCCGTGCAAAGGCAGCTGGTGAGTTTAGTTTGATTTACGCAACAGACCCTCAGCCTCCTTTCCCAGTAAATCCATGGTGGTGGTATAAGACAGAATCTAGAACCACCCCTAACTTCTAGTCATTCAACTTAAAATATGTGCACATCAGGGGTTCAGCTTGTCCATATCATGTAATGTACACAACTGAAGTATTCCCCTGACCCCTCCTCTGTCATCTTTCATTGCTCTAGGCTGGACTGGGGCCCTACAGCTTCCTCATCTTCTCTGCCTTCTGCGTCGCCACTGCAATTTACATCTTCTTCGTTGTTCCTGAGACGAAGAACAAAACCTTCACTCAGATCAACAGGATGATGGCCAAGAGGAGCAAGGTGGCAAATCAGGAAGACAGAGAGTTTGAGGATACCTACACTGTCCCAGGTGGGACGGCGGAAGAAGTATTCTGCAGTGGTCTGTGACCCAACCCAGTGTTTGGCCTGGCCCGGACTGTGAGAGACAAGAAACCAGGCCTGTGAGAAACTAAGACAAACAGCCTGGGAAAGCAAAAGTTGAGGCTGATCGAAGAAATACCTCAAACACTCACAAGACAAAACTCTGAGTCACAGGAGCATTCTGTGGAGGCCGAAGCTGATAAGGCTGCCCGATGTATCTGGGGGAGAGAGCCCTGTGGAGACAGGACGACTCTGCCCTGGGGCATCTGGGCACATTTCAAGGGCCATGTGTCCAGTGAATGAACTTCGCTTCATTATCCACGAAATGCATATTAAAGTTGACACCCCTCAATATGCTAACGAGGGCTGTCATGATCATGCGAGTGACATCATCCCATGAAACACCTGACCCCTCCCCGTACATGGGATACGTAGGTCTGTGGGTTGACCTAGGGTATGGACCCAAGGAAAGTGGGTATAAATGAAAGGGGAGAAGAAAGGGCTCTCTCTCTATCTGACCCCCTCTGGCTGCCCCCTGGCCGTCTGGAGAGAGCAGTGAAGCAAAGACGATGGATGCCAGCGAAGAAGATAGCTGCCTCCTGGAATCCTCGCCGGCAGGA